CCATCTCAGGGATGGACTGTGACATTGTGGAAGATAAAGAGAAAGCAGCGGAAGCCATTTTCTCCCCCACCTCTGATTTGAGAGAACTGTAAGACAATGATCTTGGGACGGGGATAATGTTTCCTTTCTCTTTGTCTTGTTCTTCCTCAGAAACAGCAGGTAAAGTGATGCTGGTCTCCTTAAAGTCCGTCCTTGTTGAAGTGAGACTGCCATTCTCGTCAAAGGTTTCAGCGTATTCATATGCTAGTTCCGGAGCTGACGCTCTGGTACAGGTTTGCAAAAATGAAGCACAGCAAGTTGTTGGCCTCCTCTTTTCTAATCTAGCCGAGCAGTTGGAAAATGATCGTTTGTCAGAAATTGATGTTTTTCTCTGGATACTTTCCTGGTTTTCCAATGCTTTAAAACACTGGACAAGGTGTTGTGTATACTGCACGAGTGCCTCATCCACGTCAGCAGGAGGGATGCTATTTAAAACGGCCTCCGCCAATGCAACATTTGTAGGCGAAGAAGAATCCGTCAGATCCATGTTCATTGGCATGTCTGGTGTGCCTGAGTAACGGGAAAGTCTGGTGTTTGGGGGGAGGTTTTTGCCGTGGTTTTTATGTCCTTCCTTCTCAGACACAGCTGCCGAGTCTCTGAACGTGTTACCAAAGGACTGAGGAAACATCTGTCTCATCTTCATGGCTTCTATAGGGATAGGTGGAGAGGAAACTGGAAAGGCTGTTACCTCGCACATTTCTGGTCTTGGCAGGAAGTCAGCTGATAACCTGTCCCTTGGGATTATGAGGTGTTGGTCTTCTTTCGCATGGTCTTCAAAGTCACAAGGCTTTTCTTCTGGCTTTTGAGGAAACCCACTGTCTCCAAGTCCCAAACCTAACTTAGGTGAAATGAGATCTGGAGGACCCATTTTGACCCTGACCCCTGAGCCAATGGAAAGGCTGCCAGGTGACTTTGACTCAACTGGAGAGAGACTGCTCATCAGATCAGGAGAAATGGCTTTGTTAGGTGTTAGGAAAGGGGAAGAAGGGGAGTTACTCCTCAATTTGGCCGACAGACTGGATGATAATCTTTTCTCATTTTCGATGTCATAAACGTCTTTGTTCAACACAGAAGTCATGTTGTGTTTGGGATTCAGGTCTTGTTGAGGCTCCTTAAGGGATTTGGCAGACCATAGCTGCATCTTAAAAAACATATCCAAATAAACTTCCGCCTTCCCTCTGGTGACAGGACAGAGTTTCAGCACATCCTCACTATGGTCAGATGTTTTACGTTCCTCTGTGTCCCAAAGGTAAAGCGACGCCTTCAGGTCTCCGATATCGACCATTGTCTGCTTGATGACGTCAGAGACAAACGCACGGGGGAACGTGTCTCCGTCCTCTGTGATTGGATCAAATGTATCAATGAAATCCATTTTCAAAAATGTTCTTCCAGTTTCTTTTGTTATATTTGCGACGTCGTCTATATCTGTTGTTATTCTCTAAACCGTATCTACTGAAGTGTGTTAGGTTAAAAAAAGACGCAGTGTTACATTTTCCCAACATGTTGGGTTTCATCATCTATTACAGTACTCCAGTTCTTACTGTTATATTTCAAATTAAAGATTCCATTATCTTGTCCGACCTCCATGGTCTTTTTTTGTACGCAGAGGCAACAGATCTTCTTAATATTACATTACTCCTCCTCGCTTGGCACACCTTATTTAACTCCAAAGCAACATTTCCTTTCCTTTTAAATAACATATCCATTACAGTCAGTAGAACTGGTGATGTTTATTGGCAGTTGGCCTCCATCATGTTGTATTACTGCCCTATTTTGAATACTGTCACCCAAGAGTATTTAAATAGCTTCTCATTCTTCTTGTCCCCCACCAAATCCCTTACCTACAGACTGCATCTGTTTGTTTGTGTTCATGCCTTTTTTTTGTATTTCCCTACTTTACGGGTGCTTAAATGCATTAGAAATGTTAGTGTGAAGATCCTATGAACATTAAAGGTAACAGTGTCGCAGTGTCCTTTGAACTGTAATTAAAGTCTTTCTTGTTTTTTGGTCTGAGATACAAAAGATTTCAACTCGGCCAATCCTGAGCTTCCATTACAGTTGTATTTATCAGCTTCATGATCTTAATGTAAATTAATTTAAAAAGATCACTCATTTCCCTCTCAAATGCTTTACAGTGCTGTCTCTTTTCTGTGTCATTTCACTGCAGTTTTCTTGTCGCCATTAAAAAGCAAAATAAATGCCTGATAAAAAGACCAGCGTCCAAAAGCCAAGGAAGCAACAGGTTTAAAATGTGTTCAGCACAGAAGTATTTACGACAAGGCCAAACTGGATGCTCTTTGCTTCCTTCATTTCACTATCCTTTAACCTTTAAGAATATACCATGTTCTTATACCCAGCTACACACACAGCTACGCTGTATACTGATTCAAATGCAGGTTGTAAGCTGATTCATCTTCACACAATTTACAGGATTTTGACATTCCTATTAAATATAAATATTAAGCCAAGGCCGACCATGAGGATATCGACATTTTTTAATACCTGTTCATTTTTAATCAAAACAACTTGTGGAGTTCTATTGTCATAAGTAGTCATTGACAGGAAGTGGTAAATTTGAATGGATTACAATTCTGCTAAAATAGTTTTAAAGTATCTGTAACGTTCCTGACTTTTAACTTTCAGGATGTCAACACAGCACAGTGTGGCGTTAACCCAGGCATAGGCAAATTTTTTGACTTTTTGTGGTCCACGGGGGAGTGGAAAAGGATCACATCAAAGGAGCGTTCATATGAACTGAAACAAATGACATGTAAAAGTCATAAAGTCTAAAATGGCTATAATAATAATAATAATAAAGGCTAAAATGCTAAACGGGCAGTATCCGGCCCCCGGGCCGTAGTTTGCCCATGCCTGCGCTATCCTCATTAGACCCTTGTCACAGCGTTGATATTCTGAGGTATGGTTGCCATTAAGATGAAAGAGAATGATACAATTTGGGTCAAAACATAAATACCTTTAGATACCAAGGTCCTGATAGAAGTATTTTACAAACCAGTACTAATTTGAATATATTCAACTGTGTACTTGCCTTTATTAAGTATTCTTATGGTACTTTTTAAAAACAGAAGTGACAGAAGTGGTAAATGACCAGCTGATTTGCGAAAAAGTTACACAAGTTACTAGTTTTATGTTTAAAAAAAACCAACCCTGTGTGGAGTCTAGAGCATATGAAGCCATGGGTTTAGCTGACCATCTTTTAAAACCCTTTGTGCATTGTGTTGCCTTCAAGTGGATCACACAGATCCGGCTGCCTATGACTAAGGAATTATATTTTTCTCGGAGCAAAGTTGACGTTGAACGTTTTAGAAGTGTTTCTACCACATTCCATGTTCACTGAAGACTTTGACATGGACAAGACAGGAAGTGAGGCGTACAACCCACAACCATGACTGCTCTTACTAACCATATCAGTGTACTAACAAGCACTAAACTAACTGACCAATCATAACAGCGACACCACATATTTTGCGAAGCAGTTATTTGAAGTTATTTGATTTTATTAGATGTTTATGTCTATTTAAGGCATCTGGACGGAGTAGCAAGCAGAGGAATACTCCCCAGCTCTATATGTTGTAGATCTATATACAGAGAGTGGCAGAAGAGTTTCATTTAGAGGAAGGTCATTTTTGGATATATTGAACTGTCAATACTGGATATTGACAGAGGGGGTGTTACATTGAACACTGAAAGATCAACAGTGATGTGCTACAGCGCCACAGGCTGGATAAAAAGGCAGCTGACAAAAGGCAGCAGCTACTGACTGTGACTATATTCATTGGAAAGGATCGTTTTTGGATGAATCATTAATCTTGGAAGCAAATCAAGAAAAAAAGGTTTCCTGGCTAAACTAGTTGTTATTGGTTTACTCTCATACTCCTGTCTTATTGTCTTTTTGGCATGGGCACATGAGGAAAGAAGGGAAGAGAAGTGCAGTCTATGCTCTCTCCTCTGTTCATCACTGTGACTGTGTGTGAACGAGAGGGATCAAAACTGTTCTCAGAAATGTGAAGCCACACTGAAAAACACCAGTCAATTAAAACAATATAAAATATGAATGATATTTGTTGCAAAATCCTATAACTACAATAGGTGATTTGATGCTTCCATCTGTTGTAGTTATTCCACTGTATTCCACTACGTCACGCCAGTTAATATTAAGAGACAAAAATTATTAAGAGACGGTTTGCTCATTTGATTTTGCAAATAAATTTACTACTGTATACTTCAATTTAAGTTATAATTTAAGTATTATTTAATATAATACTTACTGTATTTAAAGAAAAATACTAAAATATAAATAAAGACTTCTTAAATAGAGAACTTTATTAATTAACTTGAGAATGACAACAACAACAAAAATGAGCAATTACAAGATCACATACCAAAAACGACTTTTAATCAAAGGTGATACTTTCACTAAGCCTCTCTGATTAGGAAAACAAGCTGAGCATGTATGTCAAAGATAAGTTGACATTGAGAGCATTATTGTCTTGAATTTCACCGATTAATTGACATCTGGTTGTATTTACCTATAGATTTACCAAGAAGTCAAAACGACACAACAACGGGTTTATTGTTGTTACGTAAAAACAAAACGACATGTTCAAAGGGTTTTGACATTAAGTCCAGGGATCAATGTTTAAATAACTGCTCGTTTGTTGTGATATCACAGTTAAGCGTTGTGGTTTGATTCACAGCAGCATTAAAGTCACAAAACCTGGAGCCTACTGTATATATTATGTGTTGAACTGAGAAACAAATATATATTTATAACCATATATGTTTATATATATGTGTATATATATATATATATATATACACATATATATATACATATATATAATAATGTCCTCAAAGGTCACACTTGATCTTGAAAGGTGCTAAATTAATCCTATAATAATAATAATAATAATAATAATAATAATAATAATAATAATAATAATAGCAAATGAATGCCACCCTCATATTTATTCATTTATGTATTTATTCTCTTATCTTTAAGGAAACAGTTACAAAACTAGAATTTATATATTTGCACCTACAATACAACGGTAAACAGCCAAGGCTGACATTAAAGACATCATACATTTTCAACAGATTCTAGTGAGAGACGATCTGTGAGCGAGGTGAGACGACTATGATGGTGTACGTTGTATAGAAAACGTCAGCCTATTACACCTACACTGTTATGCACACCCTGTACAAGCTGTACTTTACAACATTTACATTAATGTTTACTATACGTGTCCCAGAATGCATCTGAGAAGATATATGCATAAATATATCGATGTCATTTATGATTGATATCGGACACCTATTCTTGAAGGCTTTCCACAAAACGTTTCTGACAGTCAGAGCTAGAGTTGAAGAGAACCAGACACAGAGCAGGACGACGTCCGTTATGATTGAGCTGGTTTCACAGTCAGTGAGTGGACGTTGACAGGGATAAATGATAAATGGACTTTGTCAGTCACGCAGTCCAATCCATTTGCTGCTCTGTCGCAGTAAAAAAAGTTATTTTGGTCAAACATCCATTTGGACCAGTACCAGAACTGGTGGCGCCTCAGCTACTTTGGCGTTGCGACGCAGCAGATGGGTTAACCTCCCGAAGGATGGTGCAGAGTGAAGGAGGAGTTCCTTCAGACCAGCTCGAAACTCCCTGCGGATGAGGCAGTAGAGCACCGGGTTCAAGCAGCTGTTGGTGTGTGCCAAACACACGGTCAGTGGAAAGGCGTAGGCTTGCACATTGTAGAAAGCCTTGCTAAAGGGCATGAGGTCAAACTTGATAAGTACGCCCCACAAAGTTAACGCCTGATTGGGAAGCCAGCAGAGAAAGAAGGACAGGACGACGATGATAATGGACTTTGTTACCTTGGAGCGACGATTTTGTCGTCCTTTTTCAGTCTCAGTGCTGGCCGCTCCGGCTATGCGTCGGGTGAGGATCAAACGTAACAACAGCAGATAGCAGACAGTGATTATGACTAGAGGAATCAGGAAGCCCAACAGGACCTTCTGCAGCTGGTACAAGCCTAAGAGGAGCTGTGGATCCCAATTGCCCGAGTCTGGAAATCGCACTAGGCACAACTCCTCATCTGACACCTGGGCACTGGTGGAGTAGATGGCGTGAGGCAGAGTGGCCAACAGTGAAACAGCCCAGATAGCCACGCTTGTACATTTGGCTCTGGCAGCTCCTGCCCGTCTGTAGTGCATCTTCAGCGCTGTGGACATGGAGTAATAGCGCGCCACGCTCATAGCTGTGAGGAAGAACACGCTGGCGTACATGTTCATGGTGGTGACGGTGCTGACAATCTTGCACATCACTCGTCCAAACGGCCAGCGGAAGTCAAGGGCTGTGTCTACTGCCCAGAAAGGCAAAGTGAGAACAAACTGAAGGTCTGTGATGGCCAGACCCATCACAAAGAAGTTAATGGACGATTGCTTCTGCCTGTAACGTGAATGAAGTAAATACAAAGCTAGTGAGTTGCCCACCAGCCCGAGGGCACAGACGACAGAGTAGACAAGCGCTATCATCACACGCACGACCATGCTGGAGCTGTCGCCCTGTAACTCCATGATAGAGTCCCTGGTGAGGAGCTGCAGCCAGCAGTGCAGTGACAGGTTGTTACTGTCAGAACCTTTGCTAGAGTTCCCCAGGTTGTTCTCCTGTAGTATCTGCTGCTCACATGGCTCTGGAGCCACTGTTTGAACCCCAGTCTCATTCATCTGCATGGCTGGACTCTGCCTGCTCACATATCACTTTGGTCGTCAAGTTTGACAGCCGTATGTCATATAATAAAAAAAAGAAAAGAAAAAGACACACAGAGTAACGGAGCTGTTGAAGAAAGCTATTTGGAAAACTTCAGGAATATATTTTATCTCAACATTAACCAAACATATGCCTGCCGTCCTCCTCTACTATTATCCTCATCCTTCTCTCTCCAAAAACACTGCGCCTCGCGCGCAACGACCATTTATAGGCTCCACGAGGACGCGCACAGCTGAGAAGCGCGGCTGTGCGCGCGTTCCTTCTCTCCGGCAGTGGGCGTGATTAGAGCTGAGAGAGAGTCCACGCTCTAATAACCGCAGCCACATCAAAGTCTGTCAGCGTGTCCGCTGGGCGAGCAGTGTATTTGGACACGGTGCTCGACGGCACCTCGGAAATGACCGCGCCAGAGGTGCGCCTCTGTGGAGCAGCTGTGCGCGTCAAATATGAAGACGTGCGGTGAAGACGCCAGTGTTCTGTTCCGACTGAAGCCGTAATTCCGGCGCTATTCTGTGTTTGATGTCCTTGTTCTGCACTGCGAGGCGCAGTGTCGAGATCAACGATACAACAACAAACGCTGAATTAAAACCTGGGAGAATAAACTGACCTCTGACAGTGAGGATGATGGTGTTGCGCTCTGTAGCCTTGTATCCTACGGAAATGAAGGGTTGGCTCTTAACACCTGAACGCCTCTGGTGGCCCATTATTTTTCCCTTCGAATTAAAGACGGGGGCTTGAGCCCCACCTGAATCCTTGGCATGTCCGCTTCAGTTATGATAATGAGGTTGAAAGGATGCAGCGGCGTCAAACTCATTTAGGTTGAGGGGCCGCTTACAACCTGACTAGATGTAAAGCGGGACCAGTAGAATCATAACATAACATATAAATAATAAAAGCCCGTCTTTTTCCCCTTTTTTAATGCAAAAAGAATAAAAAATATTAGATAAACATTCATATTTAATTAAATATAATTTTACATAACTGAACATTAAGTGTTAGTGTATTTTTATTTTATTTTCTGGGCCTCGTTGAAACAACAAGTGGGCCAGTTTTGGTCCACGGGCTATATGTTTGACACCCCTGTATTACATATGTTGTACATTTTGTACAAGTGTTCTAGTCAGTGCTCTGTGACGTATGATAGGTGTAGAAAAAGCATTCAGCCACACGATAACTTCTCCACCTTTTTGGTTGCAATTAGTAATAAAGCAAAAAAAATGCATATTTTTAATCTGGTCTCACACTTTTTTATGTAAAAAAATGTGTGTGGTTTGAACTAATTATATTGACATAATGAGAATTAGTGAAGAAGAAGAAAAAAAATCCTCTGTTTTAATCTTTTCTGACCCAGTTCTTGTTATTATTTTCTCACATGAACAACCTAATCCATAGACTCTGACAGATTCCCTGGTCTAGGCATTCAGTTGTGATGGAGACTAAGTCTGATTCATGAGCACCTGACATTTCACACTGAATATACACTACGTACTCCACAGCTCAGTCATTAGGCTGATGTGCACATTAACCAGTTTTTGTTTTTCTCTTCATATTGATAAATAGGTGAATAGATACAACATTGGAAAAAAATGACTGACATTTAAAAATTAATCTTTCCTGTGCTGTGATTGGTTAGACACAGCAGTTGAAAATTGGTAATATTCTGTTAAAATTTGCACTCAATTTTAATAGGAACAAAAGTCTAATTTCTCTTCCAGTTTATTCTCAAATTATTTTTTATAGGCTACAGTGGCTAATGCTTTAGTTACAGCAGGTTGTATTTGATTGAACCAATTTCAAGTGCACAGAGTTGACTTTATATGAAAACACACTTTTCTTGACAGAATAACTTTGTGTCCAAAAAACACTTCACTACCAAAAGTCAAATGTCTCCACCTAAAGCTGATTTAAAACGCTTCCTTCTCACAGCCGGTTGTCTGCTCTGTTCTCTGTTAATATTTCACTGCCATGATCCAGCCCACTCATCTGACATGAAGTGATCAGAAGCAAAAGAAATCGTGGTGACTTCCAGAGATTTAGACGTAAAAAACGAAAAGAAAACGCTATCACAGTTTATTTACATTTCTCTCTCCATTCCAGCCTGAGCCAACATCAAGTCATCTCACAAAATGTGCCGCTGCAGTTGTTTCACCAGATCGGACGCTTTATTGTTCCTTGTCATTATCAAAAACCTTGTGACGCTTACAAATTAGCAGTCGTTAGGCTAATTAACAGGGTTGTGTAATTAGTGACAAATTAACAAAAAACAATTATCTGCAAAAAATGACATTTTAAACGACCCATCTCATCTCATTTGCCTTAATGGGCAAATGAGTGACTAATGCGCAGTGATTCGGATTGAACTGATTCATCTAATGGTTCATCAGCCAAATGGATTTCAATGAACACAGATTCTCCAGTAGTTTGTCCTTTACCCAGATTAGCTGTACACAACAAATACGCAGTCACTTTAATGGAATCATAGTTTGCAAAGTGACAAAATGAAACTTGGAAATTACAGTATCACTTATCACTGAAAATGATTTTTACTACAGCTTTTTGTCTTGTCTGCTAGAACATCATGATCTTTGGTATTTGTTGGTTACAGCTCCTCTGGTCAGACAGAGTAAGGAACCTGTTTAGAGACCATTTAACCAAGGCAACATTGAAATCACTAAAATGATGGGGAAATATTTTTCTTAAGAACTGAATGATGCGCTCTATTCACCAGATACAGGTCAGTTAATGGACAAAAAGTAAATAAGTAAAAGGTCAAAAAGCGTGCTACAAGTGACAAAGTGCAAAAGCAAACATTAAATACAACAAATAGTCCAGAAGTGGGCATTTATGCCCCCCCCCCCTTTATTCCATAATTAAAGACAATCCATTCATGGTTTTCTTCTTTTCATAATTAATAGATGCCAAACCCTTTAGTTCAAAGGTTTTACATTTTCAGTGCAAAACAATAGCAACCACAGTCGTTTCCATATTCATGTGGAGCTTCACTGATGTCTGCATTTCCAATTAAATCATGAATTAGTGCTTCACCAGAAACGGTGAGTCACGTTAAAAAATGTGTTCCTCTAATAGAACCATTATGACAATGTCTGGTGGGAAGAAGAACTGATGTTGTTTTTAAGTGTGTCCTAATGTACGGCACTGACACCAGAGAAAGGAAGATCAACATTTAATCATTATATAGAAATAATAAAGCTATTATTCTATTCACTGATATGATAAGCTTAGTTAAAAAAAGGCATCTGCTCTAGTGCGAGCTGGACACAATTTCAAAGTGAGGCTGTGGCAGAAGAATCCGAATAGTCAAAGACAAAAGAATGTCAAGCTCTCCTCACTTCTACATACTTCAACAAAGAGTGAAATATTGATTCATCGCTGAGTTCTCGAGCTTGAGTATGCCGTTAGTTGTTTAAGTTCTCTTCTCTCACTGATATTGAAAAAAAACTATTCTGTTAATAAGAAAGTTTGGAGGAGCTCATTTACCGAGTGAGTTCATTTAGATCCACGTCACACCTTGAAAGAAAAAAAACCAATTGGTAGATTAAAAAAAACAGGGGTTGCTTTGATTGGCTGGTGTCTCCTCATTCCCTTATGGCCGACCCAGCTCAGTGGGAACCCATTTAAGTGTAAAGGCTCCTCAGCTCCGCGCACACTCAGCTAATCAGAGGTATGGATTGGAGTGCTGATTGGAAATGCTGATGGTAGAGACTTTTACCCTGATTGAATACGCCATAGGAGCGAAGCAAATAAAAGAGAACAAAAGTTGGAGATTAAGGAACGTGTAGATTGTTTATTAAAGGGAGCTAAAAATTACTTTATGCTAACTTTCACTCTTTTTATTTAGTCTAAATGCAGTTAGTATCGTCAGTTTGTCTGATGACACTAAATTATCAAACGTCCCATCTCCCTCGGGAATATTTAGGAATGTCCCTTCAGGCGCTATAAAAGTATTAGAGGAATAACTTGGAATAACTCGGCTTATTCTTCTTTCACGTCCACCTTTCTTTTTTTTGGGTTTTTATTATTAACTAGGTTTCTTTTGAATAAAAAATACTTGGAGCTACATGTCTCCCAGCCCTCTTACAGTAATTCATGTTTTCCTGTCTTCCAGTTCCTGTACCTGTGATTAACCTTGCCCCCCAGCCCCAAAGCTGTGCTTGGTTGAATCTGAAGGATTTGAATCTTTTCACTAATATAAAATAAGTATGACAAAAAGGGAAAGTCATAAAGACTGAATATACAACAATTCGGCTCAAACATGGATGATTCAAAGCCAAATTCTTCCCTGTGACCTCCATTAGGAGGAAGACATGACGAGGAATTCATCAGTAGAATTTCTTCTTACATATCATCAGCGTGTGGTTGAAGCTTGGCAGAGCGGCGGGGATCCAAGGTGACCGTGGCGATGTGACCAGTAATTGGGTCTACGTGGTAATGACTTATTCTTTCGGTTTCATTGATGTTCACGGATAAAGTTTCCAAACTGGAGTGATCTTGGTTCAATCCCAGCTTTCCCATTATGGCAGAAATGTCTTCGATTTCATGATCTCCAGGAAAATGCCGGTGCAGAGGTTTGGATTCCTTCTCATTAAAAACTGGGGCTTCAGTGTCATGCAGCACTCGGGAAGCTTGGAGGTTCTGCAGGGAGCGTGACTGGACTGTTTTGGGAAAAAGGATTTGAAGAAGTGATGTTTAATTCACGGTGACAAATGCTCCTGTGTAGAAACTGTCCCTGTCTCTTGGTTATTTGATGGAAAAAAAAGAAGCATATATCTCTGAGTGACGATGTATTCGTCTGCTCCGCTCGCCACCTACAGTACTTCTCCTGCGAACTAGTCGGCGAGTTCTAAAGCCATACGTCGGAATGATGGAACAACGCTTTCTTTATAAATTCAGTGGCGACTTGACCCTGAACGGTTGTTCGTCGAGGACGTCGCAAACCGAGAACTTCTAGTTGTCGTTTTTACCTCTTTAAAAATATATTTTGTTAAATTAAAAGATATTTTTAAACATTTTAAATGGTAACAATATCATCTCTGTGTGGTAGAACTGTGAACTGTGAAATGTGTACTGTGTCGAAATTTAAGTCAGATTGTGCTACACATCTCTATTCTGCTTTTATGTTTTTTCGGTTTCCCAAAAAGAACTAGTTTGAGCCTGTTTTTCACCTC